AATATAGTGTCGTGGAAGTGTTTGGTAAGGTGTGAAACGCTATAGAAATATGACTTATTCTTTCTCTAAAAGTCAATCTCCTCTTTGCTCCCTTCCTTCCTTTCCTTCCTTCCTTCCCTTCCTTCCTTCTTTCCCTCCTTTCTTCCTTCCTGTCTTCCTGGTGCACGTCCATCTCTTTGTCTACTCCCAGGGCTAATGTTGCTTCATGCCTCATCAATACTGCTTTTATAGTTTATGATTGTCACTAAGGCTTTCTCTTAAAATAGCTATCTATTCCTAACACTCCAGCACCCACCGCCTTCTTACTAGCTATCAGGACTGCTTCCTGAGACTTCATGCAAATTTTGTTTTCCATCTCTCTAATGCATTTCTCCCGTACTATCGTGCAATTATACTTTGTTAGTCTTATCAGAGAAAGCGATACATTTTCCTTAGGGCTGAGCAGAACTCTGCATCCCCGAGCCCTTAATAAATATTTGCTGGATAAAGAAATGGATAATTAGGGAGAAGTGTCCATCTCACAGTCATTCTCACCCCACTCTCTCCCCCCCCACCCCGCCCAAGGCTTGATAAAGTAATTTTGTTCTCTAGATATTAAGCGGATCTTTAACCTTTTTCGAGAGAATTTTTGTATTTGGTTGACACACGGAGGCATAAAGTATAGACATAGAGAATCTTCTGCTATTTGGCTGAAATGCAGAGAACTTTGGGTAAGCAGATGAGTCTAAAAAGAACTCTTAAACCTGGTCAAGAGCTTTGGATGTGGGGGTCAGTAGGTGTGGTTTAGAATGAAGGGTTAGATATTTCCAATGTGTATCTGCACAAGACACTTCGCCTCTCTGAGCCTCAGTTTCCTCCTCTGTAAAATGCGATAAAAATACAGCACTTAACGCTATCTGCCTCACAGGGTTGTGAGGAAAGAGCGTTGTTACCCTTAACACTTGGAGTTGTCGATTCTGACCGAAATGAGTTGGTAAGGGTCAGTGTTCTTTGGTCCAACCCTCAAAAAAAAAAAAAAAAAAAAAAAAAAAAAAGAGAGAGAGAGAGAGAGAGAGAAAACTGCTCATACTCTTCACCTCTAGCTCCATGTACTGAGTTAAATCCAACTCTAACCCCAGCTCCGACACATAATAGTCGCATTAGTGTTTTAAAAACTGAATTGAATTCAACCTGAATTTCAGGTTCGTGGGGTCGAAAACACAGTTGCCCCAGTTTCATTAGACGATGCTCTTCCTCTAGGATTGAGAGTTAGTTGGATCTGGAAATTTAAAAAGAAACGGGAAAAGACCAAGACTGGGAGAGTTTAGTGGATACCGGCCCTCTCTGCTCTCACTCGGGGACAATCTGGGAGGGGAGGATAGAGTCCGCTGTGGTCCTTTGTATTCCGCTTTGAAAGGAAACTTCTCCCAGTCCCCAGCTTTCCTCTCGGGTCGCTGTTCACTCCCAGTGTCCCTCCGTCCCGTGCCCCCATCAAACCCTAGAAAAGAGACTGAGACAACCCGAGAACGGAATGGAGATGAATTAGTGCGTCTCAGCTGAGATGCAGCTCTGCGGTCCTGCCTACCAAGGCGGGATTGTGACTTGTGGCTATTACACGGAAAGGCCAATGCAGAAGGTCTATCCTGTCTAGTGGACTGAGACTACGCCGCCGAGGGCTTTCGGGCGGCCCTTGCCTTGGGAAAAGAGAAAAGAAAGGCAAGGAAAGGTGATCGAGATTCTCCAGTACTCCCTTTGGAGCCCAGCCTTAGGCTCACAGGCCCTGGAGTTAGGGGGTCTTCGGTTCAAGGCGACAACCCAGCTTCTGGCCGGGTGGAAGAAAAAGTCGGAATCTAACCTAATTCCTGCTCTTGATCAACCGTTATTTCTATCCAGCTGAGAAGCTGTAGTTGTCAACTGTGCCCTGAGCCAGCCCTTGGGGAAGGAAGAATTCAATGAGAAAAACAGTTGTCAGCTCCTACTAAGTGCCAGGCACCGGACTAAGTTTTTCCTCCTTTTGTAAACAAAATATATTTTGAAAAAATGCTGTGCTCGTGGAAGTAGCTACAGCCTTCGCTTCTGTCGTCTTTTAAGTAAACCCTATTATTTTCCCGACCTTTATTGGAAAATCGTTTTGGTGCTGATGGGGAGTTGGAAGTCTCCATGCGGATAACCTCCTAAGTTCCGAAATAAACCTCCAAGCGTTTGCCCAGGACCGACACTTCCTTTTTGTATTTACATAAGCGCTGATTCGATGTGGTTGAAGTGAAATCTCAATAATGCTGATCTTAATTCATCTGAGCAATATTTTCCCTAACAGCCCTGTGACAGCCCATCAGATCAAGTCCAACAAAGAAGCCAGAGGAAGGAAGCAAGAAAAGAAAAAGATGATGGTTTTCTATGTCATAGCATCTTCCTGATCACCTTCCACATCATCACCTGGGAGACATGAAAAAAAAGAGCCTCTCCTCCAGAGGGTTGGGGAGAAAAGTTTTAAGAGGCCTGCAGTCCTCTCCTTTCCATCTCCTCATCCTCAATACCGTTGAAGCGAGGCGCACCTAAATGATTTAAATGGTTTATTGTTATTTAAAAACTAAGTGTACTGAAACGATGCCCGACCCTCTGAGTTTGGAGGCTCATCAGGTGCTCCTAGATCAGCCAAGAGGAACCATACCAAGAGGAACCATCATACCAGGTGGGCCAAGCTTTAGTAATTTTCATAACCCTATTGGAGTAACTATTTGAAAATCAATGAAAAGAGGCACACTATCCTAGGCAGCTCTTTGCATCGAGACATATATTTTGTAGTGGAATTAGGGGGAAAAAAGTTTTTTTTTAAATCCACACCACTGCAAGGGTCAAGTTACAATCTAAATTCGTTTTAAACTCCCTGAGAGAGTAAAATTTGAACAGAAGTAAAACCTCAGGGCCCTGGGAAGGATAGAAAATCCAGGAGAGAATGTGTAAAATGTTGGAGAACTGACATAAAGTGTGTTGGGGGTAGTGTAGTGAAAGCTAAATAACTTGTTTGTACTTTGATCATGATAATCATTTAATAAATCTTTGTTGAATTTAAGGGAATGAGCCACTTTGTAGTACAAAGAACCAGTAGCAGAGTAGGCCTGAAATCGTATAATATATCAGTGTTTGCTCTCACATAGGAAACTACAATTGGCTATGAAATTTAACATTGAAGTTGTATAGCAGCTTTCTTCATGAATGTATGTGGGTACATGTGCATATGATAGATAAAGGTTTCACGGCATAGAGTGTAGACACAATTTGGATATTCGGCCCGAAATAAAGACATATATCTTCTAACAGAATCCAGGGTTCGGCCCGAAATAAAGACATATATCTTCTAACAGAATCCAGGGTGAGGGCTTTTCAGGGCTTTGGGTAAATAATGCCGAACTAATAATTCAAAGAGACTTCAACGTTCTGGATAGAGAAAGCAGAGGCCTCTGGATTGTGGGTTTCTGGAGATCGCCTAGTGAATGTTTCCAGGGCTGGAGAGATAGCCTTTCCCGTTACACAAATTGTCTTTTACAATGATCCTAAGGTGTCTCAAAGCGTCATTGTGGAATAAGGCGGGGCTAACCCCCTAATTCCGCCAGCTGAAGGAGATAGCTGCTGAAAATTGTCAAGCTCAGCAGCCGAAAGCTACCCGTTCCCTTGTCAATTTTAAACTCTTCCCTTTCTCAAAGAAGCAAAACTAAAGACACTTGGTGCCACCTTGTAAAAACTGTTGTATTTTCGACCGTGGTAAAAACTAAAAGGGAAGCTAGTCTGAGCTAACGGGCATTGGAGTTGGAATGGTGGACTCTTTGAGGCGGACCGGAAGTGTTTAGGTTAAAAAAAAAAGAGGGGGGGAGAGCCCTTAGGCCATCCTAGACTAATTTCGCGTGTGTTCCTGCCTACTTGCATTTGGCATCGAAACTTAGAGAAGACAACACACAGTACGATGTGTTCAACTAAAGTTTATAAATTAAAAAATAAAAGCGGATATAGCTTACAAATATTCACAATTCTTTTAAAAGTAATACTCTGTTGAGTGCGTGGTGCCCTTGAGAAGCGAAGAGGTGAACTGGAAGAGAACCTCAGTAAGCACAAGAGAACAAGCATGACAGCTTGTTTTCTTCAGGAGAATTTTTTTGAGGAGAAGGGGTAAGAACCAGGAGAGAAAAGGTGTAGGAAGGGGCACTGGAAAGTCCGGAGATTCCTGTCTGAAGACAACGGTTTCAAAACACTGACTAGAAATATTCACATTGAATACAAAAATAATGATAACAGTAATAATAATTTTAATACAGCTGGAAAGTGCTACGAGTCGTAACTCCCTTTAACAAAGAAAAAAGGAAAGAAAGAAAGAAAAAGAAAGGAAGAAAGGAAGGGAAAAAAGAGTATCCGTGAAAGTTTCCCTCAAGGTGGATAAACTGCATAGCCTGGGCCTCACACTAGGCCACTTAGGGTCCTGCGGCGCTAGCCACGGAGAGTGAACCAAGGGGCATAAAACGAGGCTTACTTACATTCAGCACTGAACAGGGCCAGCTGCAGGGCCACAGGCTCAGGCGCCAGAGGAGGTGGGGGTTGGGAACAGGCACACAGACACCAAACCCAAATCAAAATAACCAAGACAGCAACGATCCTTTTCAATCCATCCTTCAGGCTGCCCTTGGTACGACTCCGGTGGGTTTTGGGTCTAATCGATCCCCTTCCCCCAACTCCATATCAATCCAATTAAAAAAATAGATAGGTATGTACAAATATTTCGGTAGCATGGATACCATGAACTTTTGGCCGAATGGACGAACTCTCGGCTTGTAAATGTCTGTGAAGGTAGGCAACTTGACAAATAGCAATTCCCCACTTTCCCCCACACCCTTATCCCGTCCCGCCCCCAATTAATCCCCTTACTTAATCCTTAATGAAAATCCTCATCCTTAATGAAAAGCCATCTCAGACCCAACAACAGCAATAATAACAAAAATAAAGAAATCATAATAAATAGCGTCCTTGATGTCCTTTTCCTCGGATGGGTCGGGGGACCGGTAGGTTTTTGTGGAAGCGTCTGGGGACCTGGCTCGGCGTTGTCGTAGTCCTTCACTGGGTGCCCGCTGCGGCCGTGCAGGTGGAGAGGGCCCAGCCCGGAAGGCAGTAGTAGGGGTAATAGTAGGAGGGCTGAAGGGAGAGCAGGGAGGGGGGCCTGAGCACCTCTCCCGGATGGTACTGTCTCTGATCGTCCCTCACTAGCACTTTGACCGCCACCTTCTTGGCAGCAGGAGCCGAAGCTAGCAGGTCTGCGGCCATCTGGCGGCGCTTGGTCTTGTAGCGGCGGTTCTGGAACCAGATTTTCACTTGAGTCTCGGTGAGTTTCAGAGAGGCTGCCAGGTCGGCTCTCTCCGGGCCAGACAGGTAGCGCTGATGATTGAAGCGGCGCTCCAGCTCGAAGACCTGTGCGTGAGAGAACGCGGCCCGGGAGCGCTTCTTCCGAGGCTTGGGCGCAGATTGCTCCTCTTCTCCCGGGCCCCCGCCACAAAGGAGTTTCTCGCACTTGCCTCCTCCGCCTCCGTCCTCCTCTGTCCTCGGGCTGCGATCTGCGAAGGCCAGGGGGAGAACAAAACGGAAAGCAAGGTCAGTTTCGAGGCCCCAAGAACAGCCGCAGGAGAAATAGCCGGGTCATTACTTGCAGCCTGGCATTGACCCAGGCTCTCCTGAGACCCTGGGAGGGCTGGGAGACCCTTCCTAGGGACAGGCCGACTAGTTCCGTGGCCCCTTTCCCCAGGGTCTGTCCCTAGCTGCTGAACTGGTGAAAGAACCACTCACTCGCCGCTTCACCAAAGGCGCGAAGCCGGATTACGGCACAAACGAACACGGTATCTCTCAGTCACTCTGGTGGCTTCTTGTTTCTAGTTCTGTCTGCTGTCTTTCTCTCTCTGACTCTTGTCTCTGTCAGTCCAATTTCCACCATCATTCCTCTCTCCTCTAATCTTTACTATCCTTTCCTTCTGTCTTCAGTCTGTCTCCTTCACCCCAACCCTGCGTGCGCGCGCGCGCGCACGCACGCACACACACACACACACAGAGTACCACATAAGTGTCTCCCTGTTTCCCATTAGCATCTGGTGGGTTGCTATCATCACAGTGTCATAGTGTCAAAGCTGGTGACGAGACTGGACTCGGAAGTCTATAGAGCTATCCACCCGGCAAACTTAAAGTGACAGAGAATGCTACGAGCAGTCAAAAGACGAGCTTTGCTTGTGGTTTCCCTCTACGCCTTTTGTGACTCCTGCCCCTTCGCCTCCTTTGGTCCCCCAGGTGGAAATAGGAGGGATGGGACAGGGAGCCAGGACCTTTCCCATTTTCCTTGGACTGTCTACTTTTTTTTTTTTTTGCTGGGGGTGGGGCGTGGGGAGGGTGGGGGGGGAAGACTTTGTCCATCGTTTTATCACTTCAATTCAGCTCTTTACTCTCAAATCCCAACCTTCAGGTGAAACAGAGGTCCTTCTGCACTGGGCCTTCAGCAACTTGGTCAGAAACCATTTTGCGTCCTGCTGTACACCAAGGCCTGCGGCCGCCCGCAGAAAGGGAAAAAACAGAATGGAATGGGGCGCTGGGTCTCTCCTTACAGATGAACAAGGCGTGAGAGGCAAACAGCTTTTCCTTGATTACTCTCAGCTCCGAGTCATCACTGACCCGGAAAAAAAGTTGAAATGTTGCACTGAAGGCTTTTAAACAAAGTTTCACCCTACAGGTCCTGGCTTCCTTTTCTGTCAGTGCCTCCTCTCTGGCCCTACCGTTTGCTGTGCTTAGCTCGGAAGCAAGGTTTTGAATCATTGGCTCAACCACTGCCATGGATCCGAGCTCCCCGGAGTCCGCACCCCGCGGTCTAGAAAGGCTTAAGCTCCCAAGAGGTCTTTGCTTTAATCTTTTGCTGCTCCCCAAACTTCTCACTCCCTTCATCTCTCCCCTTAAAGACGAATTTGGGGGCTTCGGAGGCCATGTTCTTTTTTAACATCCTGGACTCCCGAGGGCCGAGACCTGGGACAATTAGGAAGCTGGATCACTGAACTCTAGCCCGAGTGGGAAGGGAGGTGAATCGGGGCCCCTAGCTCACCAGGGCGCACGTGCTTGGAGCTGATGGGGAGGAGGGAACATGAGGAGGGGAGAGCTCCGAACAGACTCTGTCAGTTCTTTACAGGGATCCTCTTCCACTAGGGAAAGCGGGGAGGGGGTTCTAGCGCTGAGGTTACCCAGCGGGAACTTGCTTATTCCCCTAAATCTTGCCCCAGCTAATCCCCGGTGCCAAGCCCATGCGTGAAATTTCGTTCCTGGATTTCAGCTCCAGGATACAGAGAGTCCGTCCCCCCCACCCCCACCCCCACCCCCCCGCCCCGCTTCCCTCCACTCCCATCGCCCAAGCCCAGTTCGTCTTCCCTCCCATTGTCCACCAAGAAATTCAAGCAGACCTGAGACGCTGGCTGACATCTCGCTGTCACTCAGGCCTGGGGGCTCTTCTTCCAAGTCCTTGGCCTGAGCCTCTGGCCCGGGCTGCCCCCTGCAGGGAATCTCCTGGGCGCGCCCCGCTCCGCTGGCCATCCCGGGCAATCCTACAGCCTCGGCCGGGCAGCGCCGCTCCCCTTCGTTCTCTTCGCTCAGAGCCGAGTCCGAATCCCAGCCCCTCGGGCTCCCCGCTGTCCGTCCCGCAGCCACTGCTGCTGCTGCTGTTGCTGCCGCCGCCGCCGTTGCCGCTGCTGCCGCCATCGACCTAGGCCCAGCCGGGGAGGGCAGGAGCGTCTCCCCAGTTCCCCCCACAGTACCCGAGTCCATTTCTCCAAAAAGCCTCCAGCAACAGGCTGGAGCCGCCGCGACCGAGCCTGCAGGGGCCGCGGCTCCCCTGGCCGGGAGTGGGCGCCCTTCCAAGCACGGATGTCCTACCCTCTCCTCCTTCTTGTTAAGAATCGCCTGGATGGAGAAAGGCGTCAAGGTGTTGCCGCTGCGGACAGCCATCTGCCCCCCGAGGGGCTGCGGGCCAGGCCCGGGGCAGGGAGTAGCCCCTGCTCCGGAGGAGTCGGGGGATCCAAGACCGAAGAGAGAGGGAGAGAGCAAGCGAGCGAGTAGACGAGAAGAAAATGACCGATTTGACTGGAGGGCCCCCCAGCCTACTCCTCTGCACGATTCCCTCCCTGTCACCGAAACCACCGCCCCACACACCCCTGCTTCTCACTCTCCAAGGCCCCCCCACCCTCCACCCTCCCCGGCCCGACCCACCCTCCAGCCCCCCACCCCGCCCTCAAATCCAGTGCCAGAGTATCTTCTCCGCTCAGCTGGATAATCTCATGTCTCTCTCCGTTGCTGCCCCTTCTCTCTTTGCTCAGTTTAGGAGTGGACGGACTACGGAGGGAGGGGTGGCGCGTGGGGGTTGGGGGTGGGGAGAGCAGGAGGCCTGACTGATGCAGCTCTAACGTGCCACACTCAGGCAACAGTCGTCTCTGGAGCTCTGCACGGACTGACGGCCCGGGACACTTTTTTTCTTCCTCGCTCCTTTCTTTCTCTCTCCTGAACTCGCTTTCTGTTGCACTCTCGCTGGTCTCCTTTTCCAGCTGTGGCTATTGGAGCTGCGGTGGTGTAGGCAGCTGGATTCAGGCAGCGCAGGACACTTTCCCCGCCCCCCCTCCCGCTTCTATCTGTTTCTTTTCTCTTTCCTTCTCCTTTTTCTCCCAGCACTGGTGTCATTGCTCACCTATGAGTGACAGCTGCGGCCCACGCCTTCCCATTGGGCAGGGCCGGGCTCAAGCAGGCAGCTGATTGGCCAGCTCCAGCTGGGCAATGTTGATTTTAACAGACAGAACTGTGCAAGTTGCGGAGAGGAAGACTTGGGTTGGGGGTTAACCCCTTCTTTTCTAAATCTGCTGGTCCCACAGCCTAATTCAGCTATGCATCATTCTTATAAATGCACTGCATTATAAACTGAATTTTCTTTAGATGTATATACTAATGCATCGCAATGCATATAAGAAACAATGACATCATCTCACTCAAAACGTGTTCATAAGTTAAAGGAAATGTGGATGCGCGCGGGGCGACGACTTATCTCTTCTAAAAGATTCGATAAATACAATAGAACACGCCCCCTTTTTTCCTGTTTCCTGTGACTCAGTTCTAGGCTTATTCCATCCCCTCATTCTTCTAGTTGTTTGGAAAGGTAGTCAGATAAGTAAAGCGCTAACCAGCGAAATCTTTAAAAAAGATGGATTGTGTAGGAATAAGTACACCGTAAAATGCGAAAGCATCTTCTAGAAAGCACCCTGAAACTGAATTCTGTGATCTCACCGGGTGAATAATTCTGCACTTCAGTTTGAGTTTATTTAGTTTTATTTTAGAAGACGATTCTTAGGATTTTTCCTTATATGTAAAATTTCATAGAAGTTGAACACCTTTAGCCTTAAAATAAAAAAAAAAATGAAATAACGAAGAACTGGCATCATAGTTTTCTGTTATTCTGATACATTGGATACACTGAAAATTATTTTTAAAAAGTAAGTTTTAAATCTACCAAAGAAACCAAACAAAAAGCAGAAATATTTTGAAAACTATTGCATTTACGTATTGCCTATGAATATTACACAATTTTGGTCAAGCAATACTATTATCTTCCAAAAGACAATAATGGGCATCTAATGTGACATTACAATCACTGAAGAATTAGCTAAATTAAACTTAGGACGATGGTAATTCTTCAAATTTCTGGGATTATTGATGTCCGTAATTGACTTCATAGTTTCTTCTACCCAACATTTTTAGGAAAAGAGGTTGTCAGGTTCAGTATTTGAGTGAAAATTTTGCCCACTATTCACATTTTCCACACTGAAAAAGGATTTTTTGGGCCTCTTTCATACTTGTAACACATTTACATGCACCTTGGTTATTGCTATCTATTTTTATTACTGCATTTAAACAAAAAACTTAACGAAGAAGCGAAATGATTTCTTCAGATTCCACGGTGAACAAACTCTGAGATAGTTTTCGGAAGCAATTCGTGGCATCAGAACGGTGCCAGGGATGTGTGTGTGAATGTATAATGTCGAGATGAAGGATATTCCCCTCTTCCTCCCTTAACACTGGCACTCACCAAAGATAGGTACTGCATTGAAGCAGTAGATAATGGATTATAACAGATTTTTATACCCCACGGTATTTGGAGGAGGGGGAGTAAGGAAAAACTGAAATCGACAGGTGGCTTTTGTAAATAGAGCAGACTGACGGGTCTGGAGCTGTGTGCAGTGCACAGGTAGATTGCTTTAAGGGATTAGGATTTGACAAGAATGAAGCATTCCGTGAGTGCTGAAACAGGCATGTAGTTTTGGATTTCCAGTAACTGTGAAAAGATCAGCTATGGAGTTCTAACCATGAAGTTGTACAGGGAGGTTGTTAAACTTAGGCGATTTGCAGACACAGAAAGCCTCTGAATTGATGAATTGAACTAGCGGAGAACTTTTCCCAGCAGAGAAAGGTGTTTTTCTGGGGAATTAAACTTTGTATTGCTGTGTGTACCTCTGTTTAAGGATTTCTCCATGACCAGCAGGATCCTTAAGCAACGCAACAGAGGATATCTTGGAGCAGGCAAGCTCCGAGCGTGTGGTATAAACTCATTCGTCTCATTTACAAGTTCCAAAAGCTGTTTTGAGCCACATTGCATAGCCATTAAATATAGTTTTTGCTGTGTGTGTATAATGCCTCCGGGTTTCCCAGTCTAGTGCAGCGTCAGTAAAGTAGGCTGGGGGAGGGTAAAGTGGTTACCCAGATGCACGTGAGTGCATGTTGCGGGTTTTCTTGGCGTGTGTAAATAAAGATTCTCAGGGAAGGTAGTGTGGGGGAATGGGGATTATTTGCTGACGTTGGGTGAGCTGGAGACATCCAGGACGGGAGGCGTGTGTGCAGTGCACGCTCACACAGGGAGGGTTCGCCTAGGAACGAGCTGCAGAGAATGAAATCCCAGGGCTTCGGGGAGTGGGGGGAAGAATTTTTTGAGAAGTTTTTGAAATCCTGCTCCAGGGAAACTGAAAGTCCACGAAAGCCTGCTTTGTAAGCCTCCAAGTCCAAACTGTTGGAAATACCTACGGTTAGTTTACTATGGTTGTAATTCTTCTTTCCCGATTCATCAGGGTTGCCCAGTGAAACCGGGGCCAGGCCCCGGCCCTGGTGCCGAACGGCGCCTGCTTGAACTAGTGGCGGAACCGCCTCGCCGCAGTGCTGGGGGCTATAGGTGCCTTTTCTGAAAAAGAGCAGTCTTTTGGCGGTGGGAATGCCGGTAGACACTGAACAGAAGAAAGGAAGGTAAGCATTGAAGAGCATAGATGAGAAGGCTGCTGAGCTGTTTGGGGACGGTTAATCCCAGCCTGTGCTTGCCTGCCTGCCTGCCCCTGGCCCTGCGGCTGCTGTTGGGTCCGCGGATGCAGCCGGAGCTGCCTTGGCCTCAAGCGGCCTGGGTGGTCTGGTTTGCTCTCTAGGCTCTTTTCTGAAGCTTTAGAGCCCCTTCAGCAGGCAACGTCGCCACCTCTTTTCTTCTCTTCGCTTTCCTCTCTTCTCCCTTCCCCTTTTCTCTACTCTTCCCCTTTCCTCGCCTCTTCTCCGCTTCTCCAACCCTCTTTTCTTGTCCCCCTCTCTTCTCCTCTCTCTCCTCGTCCTTTTCTTACTCTATCTTGTATCTTCTTTACGCTCTTGCCTTTTCACTTGTCTTCTGTATCTCCTCTCATCTTAGTTCTCTTACCTTTTCTCTGTTCTGTACTCCCCACTTTTTTTCTCGTCTCTTTCCTACTCTCTTCTTCTGCAGTCTCTTCTCACCTTCCCGCCTTCCTTCTCTCTGCTTAGCCACCTCCCGCGGCGGGCAGAGCGGGCGGGCGGGGGCTAGAGGAGCCTCTAGGGTTTGTTTGTCCTATGATCTAGAAGCTAATTTATTGGCTCCGAGTACAAGTGCCACCAGGGCCGCTCCTTGAAGCGGCTGCTTCCGCGGGACTACTAAGAAATACGCTGTAAGAGCGGCAGCAACTCGTGGGGCCTCCTAGTGAAATCTGCCTCTTGCAGCTACTGAAAACCCACTGGCCCACCTTCTCCTCTCTGTTTGCTGCCAGATCTTTTCCCAACATGGTCCTGATTTGTTGGCACCCCGCTTTCCCCTCTCTGTGGAGCTTTAGTTGAATTGTGCCTTGAATTCCGAAGTGACGCTCCTGTGGCCCTGGGGAAGGATGCCAGGGAGTCGCTGGCAGGCGCAGGAAATCCCGGAGAAAGCAAGGGTAGAGGAGCAAAGTACTCGGAGCTCAGTCCTCTCTGCCCCGGCTCCAGAGGCGCTAGTGTTGCGTGCGATCCACAGGGCCCATCGTCCGCCTTCTTCGACTCAGTGCGCAGTCAACAATGTGGCCCCGCTGCCCCTGCGCTCTAGGGGAGAGGTCATTTCGTATCAGCAGCACAACTCAGGAAAGCCGGAAGCCCAAACCTCCTTGTGGGGCTGCGTACTCTTGGACACCCCCAGATTAGCGAAAGACAGGATCCCCACGTCCTAAAACACACCAGAAGCGGCAGGGAGGGGAGGTGGGGAGATGCACATGCGGCAACACACAGGCATTTAGATGGAGGCACAGATAGAGACTGAGGGACAAACACACGGAGACAGAAAAGAAGGGACCGATGACAAGTACTTGGAGAGAGTATGAAACCTTAGAGATACAAAAACAGAAACAGTGATACACGTAGAGAAACCGAGATAGACAAGCAGTAAGAAACGTTGAAGAAAACATAGATAGAGAGGCTTCACAGAGATATGGAGAGACAGATGCGGGCTCCCAACCTCTTGGTATAGCAAAGAAATAAAGAAGGGAGAAATTCATATTGGGGCATACTTTGGTAGATCAAAAGGACACTGTTATCTCAGACTGACAATCCTCTAGCTAGTATACACACAACTGCCTCCGGCGTGTTTGCTCACAACAGACCCAAGGCAAACACTTTGCCTA